ACCAGAATTTGCCAGCATCGTCACCCCTACCTGCTCTCAAAAGCAAGTAGGCAAACTGATTTTTACAATCCTGCCTCTACAAATTACACTTTGCTTGTTTGTTAGCCAAAAAATACCAGGCCACTTTGTCTCCGACGGTGATGCCTTATGGTGGGAGGAGGTAGGAAGACACAGCTTCCACAAGACAAGACAGGAGAGATTGCTGTGGGACTCTGATTGCAATCAATATAGTCTGACAGGATGACTGTAACTCTAGGGAGGAAACTAGGAGAGGTCTCCAGGTTCAAAAAGTAGGAGAATTGCATCTTCTCTAAACAACTGCATTTTCATGTTCACAGCACAACACATTTCATCTATGTGCACTTGGTGGGTGTGTTAGTGTATTTCAACCCACCCACATGCCAAGCTGAACAGAAATAGCACAAAAGTACAAGAACATACAGTACTTACATTTCTGCTCACAATATATGAGGTAACTGAAATCATCACTGTAAAAGCAGAAAGAATGCAACAAAAACCCCAACAATAAATATTGTTTGAAATAGTCCTGTGCTGGGAAGGGGATAGACTGCATGACCAAATAGGGCTCTTCCATCTTCAATCTCCATAAAGGTAACGGAGGTTGCAATTTATTTTTCTGCTTGTTGGCAAAAGTACACATCTTGTAAACTTTCAGAGCTTTTAACCCTCAATGTTTCATGACTTCTTTCCATAAGACATCCAGTTGTAAGTATCGATAAGGGAAATAGCTCTATCAACAGGCAAACCAACACATAGTACTTGCAAAGTTGCAACAAAGAGATTTTTAATTATGAGAGAAATCACAATGTTTCAAATACATTTAGAATTCATCTCAACAAATGACAAAATTACAGGTAATCAATTGGGGAAATACAGTTTTGTCTCACTTCCAATCAACGGGTAACCATCATTTTCATTTTTATATACATAAATGAGAAATCTGATTTAAAGTAGCATATGAACAAAAATCAAACATGAATTTTAAATACTTCTGCAATCAATTGGGCATCTTTTCCAAAAATGGACAGCCAAAATCCGTTCACTTCTATTTATGGAAGATTACTGCAGAGCAGTGGTCTTCCAAGTGGCATGCGTGCACCACAGGGGTTATGCAAGACAATCCATTGGGGTGCAGGAAGAAAATATCAGAACTTCAATAGCACATGTATATAAGTTATAAATAAGTATACATATAATGGGAGTGCATGCTCAAAAAGTTTTTACCGATAGGGATGTATGACCAAAAATGTTTAGATCACAGCCCTAGAGGATCCTGCCATGCAATTACTGCTGCCACGTCAAAGGCATCTAATGAAGATGTTGGTGAGATATAAGCTCTCCTTTACATCTCTTCTAAACTATCCGTTATAAAAACAGGTGAAAATTTCTCTAGGAGGCAGATTTGTGAGCTCCTATCTTCTGTTAAGCAGCATGGATTCTCAAAAACCCCAAACTACTCAACTTTTTCTTTGTTTTCAGGAAATGCAACTTACTGCTTTCTCATTAATCTCTTCCCTCCACTGTACGTACTGTCAGCATTTGATGAAAGAGCTATTTTCCTTCTGTGTCAATCAAGATGAGTAACAAGGTATTTGCAAATGGGAACAGACGACCACTCTGGAAAACTCTTAAATCAAGGAGAAAACTTAGTGTTCTTTTTTTAATCTGGGCTACCTCACTTACATGAAAAAGTGGCTAGCAAACAAGATCTGGCTCAGTAAGCAGCCATTATGTTAAAAAGTAACCAATAGATTAAAATGTGCAAATGCAGAAGAGGAAAATTTTGCTCTTATCCAAAGCATGATGATCAGATTTGTTAATCTCTCGTCCAATCTGGAATGAGAAGGATGTAGAAATGGTGACTAAATGGAAATCTCGCAGTGTCTGTGATCATTATAAAGATGTATAGGCTGCCTGATTTAGGGAAAACATGTATAAGAAGAGACAAAATAATAATGGCACAGAAAAATAATACCAAGCACCCTTCCTCAGCATCACCTAACAAAACACAGGATGAGTGGTGAAGTTGAAAGGTAATACTCTTAAATGAACAGAAATATTTTTTTTTAATTTAGTGCAATGTATAATTATCCCTTCCAACTCTGTATAGTAAGAACATCTGCAAGTACACTGAGTGAAATTAGGACAATAAATCTGAACGTTTCATGGCATATACCAGCCACATCAAGCATCAGCAAGGGGTAGTGAAAGATTCACCCAAGAGCAGAATATATCTATCTGCTGCTCACAGAAGGTTATTTATATCTTCTCTGGAATCATTTGAACTGGTTAATACAAGAATAGGTCTCAGGCACAGCAACAGCTAGTTCTTGGTGTGGGGAAAGCTGAAAACCAAAAGCCAGCAGTGTATGAAGTCACAAGTAACTCAAACAAATGTTTTGGATTCACAGGAAGAAGCCATTTTTTCTTACTTGTTTTCACTTTAGTACTATATGTACAGATTGCTAGATGCTGCTTTTACTCAAAAGTAAAATCTCTGAGTCTTGAATAACATTTTTCTTGTGATTTTTCCTATCTAAAGCTAACTGGAGAAACAGTGATGAAATCTTGGTGAGTGGCAATTTCTTTTTTGTGAAATTTAATAAATAAAAACCTTGACATCAGAATGTCTCAACTTTTTTAGGACTGCACATTTCGGTTTTTCACCATTCAAATCTACCTGCAATATTACAACAACATTAAGAAAAAAAAATTCTAATGACTCCTAAAAGTCCCCCAATCTTCCTTCACTGAGAATTCAGAGATTCTTTTGTTTACTTTTAATTTGGAAGAGAACTCAATTGTGAATTCCTCCAGGAAATTAAATATCCATCTCTAGCGGTGCCCTACTATAGCTATCAGAAATGAAGCATCTGAGTGGAAATGTTACATGGTCACCCTTCTCAGCTTTAGAAAGCTACTGTTGAGGGCTGGATTGCAAGATTGAATGAAGACTGCATTCTTGGCTACACCACTAAACCATAACGAAACAGTGCTGTCTGACATAGCTCCTGTTCTACACACGGTACACATTTCAGGCTCAATCTGTCTGCCCAAAAATAGGCATAAAAAAAAAAGTTAAGATGTTCTAGATTATATCCACAGGGCTGGCAAGCATGGTACAGGACAAGTGGGAGGCCATGCCCTTCTGGAGAGGCAGCTGGAGGCTAGGCACAGGATTTCAGCACTTGAAAGACGGCACTATACACCTATGCATTGGCAACTGTGTTGAGCCTTTCCAATTATTAATTTTGTAATGTGTGTATCAGTAAGGCAAGAAAAAAAAAGGTAAAAAAAAAAAAGTAGCTGTGCGATACATAGTTGATACTGTTTTACAATTTGCAGGCATATTCACGTTGGTTCTGCCAGTTTGACTAATCCTGTCACCGAGTTTTTCAAAGTTTCACGTTTTATTTTCAGTTGTCAAATTCAAGACGTTCAAGGGCTCAGACTCCCTCTTTACTCCTACATTCTTTTAGTTTAAGGTCAGCTAATACAAGCATATACTTGTCAGCTTATTTCTACATATCCCATTTTTCAGGGTTTCTGAAGAACTTGCCGGCTGGCTGCTCATAAAGTAATGTATACTTTCGAAAAAGCCACTGGCCAGATGCAAACTCTAACAGAGATGATGAGCACAACAGACCCTGGTCCTGCCACAGTTACAGCCGATAGGTCTTTTTTTTTCCAGGTGAATGCCACTACTTGACACTACACTCCATGATAAATAATAGAGACACAAGTGTAGTATTTTTTACTCATGATGACTCTCACAACCTACTAAAACTCCTGATTTCTTTCATCAGCAAATTTCACTCTGGAATTATGAAGCCATGACTCAGTGTCTTTAAAGGAAGACCCAACTTAAGCACTATGCTCTAAACAGAGAGCAAAATAATGTAAATACATATTTTTATTTTAAAATTTTAAATATTCCTTATGACCTTCATGACTGCTTCACCTACATGCCTCTTCCATACACTAGTTAGCAAACTTCCGATACAATTCATCAACAGACATGGTAAACAAGGTATGTGTTATTGAATTGCAATTTTTTGAAGCTATTCCACAGAAGGTGTCTAAAAGGTAAACAGAATCCATACTAACTTAATTGCTGCAATGTTTTGTAGCCAATTGTTACTAGAAAACTTTTAGCAACTATCTGTCTTTAAATGAACATATAGTAAATGAATGTCACTGGAGTCTGAGTTTGCTTTCAGAATTAATGTTGCTTAAGTGAAAATCTTGTTTACAAATACAAATAGTAATTTCTTGTAGGTCTGCCTATTACAAAAATTAATTTACATCTCTTCAGAAGAAAAGCATTAAAATTTCAGCAACAGACTTCACAAAAAAATTGTTGATCTTAAAAATTATTTTTTTGTATGATGACAACATTCACTGTAGTATCCATTGGCTTTTTGGGGAGCCTTACCCAAAGGATAAGGCTTTGGGGATCCTTCCTCTATTCAGTTTAATGCTAGATAACAGTGTGTGGCAAATGACTGGAAGCATTTGACAAATGCAAAAAAATCAAAGGTCAATTAAATATATCGCAAATAATAAATATATGGGAAAAATGACCAAATTTGTCGCAAATAGTGAAAAAAAAAAATTTGAATAGTCCAGATTTTAATACCATAAAGACGATGTATCATGCAACTGATAGAATATCAAATGCTGGTAAATATTAAACTGAATTGAATTGTCTGAATTTTACTTAATGTCAACTACAATTTTGATTTTTTAAAATTAATATGGCAAATTCAATTTGGAGTTATACAGACAAATTTTACTGCTATCAATAGACTGTGTTTATCTGAAGGCAGAATTTAACTGAAAATATTTCCAAATATAATGGAAAGCCAATTTGAAGGTTTTGTCTATCTACATTGCTTTACTGTTATGCTGTAAATCTCCAAAAAACAGAACACTGTACATAGAAAAACATAAGCTTTTAGAAATTTAAAATTACTTACAAGCTGCTCAGACTTTACACCATAGAGCTGAATGGTCTTTGCCACATTTTTTGCCACAGCTAAACTCAGGTCCGGATCAACAGCAGCCACATTTAGCTCACTGGAAGCAAAGATTACAAATCTTAATTAACAACTAAACAGTGCTGTATTTAAATGATAAAGAATTAACTATGAACACATAGTTACGTGGCGTGTCAATTTAGAGAGAGTAACGCATACAACCCAGTCTTTCTAAGCACTGTAATTCAGTTTACAATTTAACAAATCATCTGGGAATTTCATGTGCAGTGTTCCTATTCTAGTAAAAATGAGCAAAGTTTAGGAATGACACTTCAGTATGAAATCACTCTTAGTAAGTCATTCAAAAATATTGACTGCAATTAACTACATTCAAGCTTTGGCAGCAGCCTTCAAACATTACAGGTGAATACACAGTCATTCAACTCCGGAATTACATGAGCTGTGCAGAAATACCCAGGGGACGCCTTAGCTTGACACAACTAATAAGCTGTGTTTTAGGCAATCCTTTATGGTAACATAGGCCCCAAAGGAATGACAGGGAACAAACGAGAGAAGGAAAAGACTTCTAAATCACTTCCAGCATTTCTTGTTCATGGAAACCCCCAGATCTCCATTGGCTGGGGCCACATTCATAAATGCTCTACTGAAAACAGACAAGCACAAGGACCATCCTGTTGCTAGCGATGAGATTAACCCCTCCCAAGAACTGGAGAGACACTAGGCACCCTGACACAGGAATAACCTTCTCTGAGAACTCTGCAGGGCCCCAAACATCACTAGCTAAAGGTCACTCTGGAAAACTCAGCTGAAATTTCATGTCTTTTCCCTTCTCCTCTGCGAGGAGCAAAATAACATCAATAGCCACACCAATAGGCATGTTCTGAGCATCTGCCACTCCCGGCCACAAGTGCAGTGTCAGTATTCAGTATTACATGCTGTGGGAAAATAATGGAAGATTGGCGAGGAGGACTGTAAACACACTCAAGTGACTTGCAGCTGGGGTGTAGAAAAACACATATATCATACTAATTGTTGTTTAGACTTGTGTGTTGGGCAAGTAGAACATCTGTGTTTCGATAACACAGGCCTGTGGTAGACTTAGAGGCATGCTATGGAACATGCTTGAGATGCCTGCCCTGCTGTGGGAAAGATCAAAGCACAGTGGTAAACTACGTCTGCATGAATCCTTGAAATCCAAGTAAAAACAGCAGGTTCGGTGATCCTCTAGCACGGATGGAGCTCCGCGGTGCCTGTGTCCCTGCTTGTGTGCCTCTGCCCGGGTGCTGCTTCAGGGATCGCCCAGTTGGCGAGGTAACGAAAATGAATTTACTCTTTGCATTTCATCTGTGGTTTTGTGGTTGTTCCTGTGTCCTGCCTGTGCCGGCTCACACAGACACACACACTCACATACACATACAGTGAATACTGCCCATCATTTTCAGCCTGTATTAAACAGAGTAGTTCTTACTAAACCTTATGAGGGAAAATATACCATTGGTAATTTAAGCATCTCATTTTATAAATTCTACTTCGAATAGTCATCTTTATCTATTATCTTGCTGTTTCACTCTAACAGAATATTTATATCAGGTATTATCATTTGCAGCCAAGCAACTATCATCTTCCATTTCACACAGTCAGAATAATTAAGGTATCAGACATTTACAATATATGTGAAGTTTCTCTTCCTGATGTCTTATAAGCTTAAACAGTAAAACTTAAATGAAATTTTCAGTTATTCCAGAAAAACAAAATACAGACAATAAATAATAAACAATAAATTTTAGAATAAATTATAAATAATAATAAAGAGGCAGTTATTCTGCTGTATTCAGCACTGGTACCACCTCACCTTGAGTGCAGTTCTGGGCTCCACAATTTAAGAAGGATGTGAAGGTCCTTGAATGCCTCCAGAGGAGGGCAACAAAGGTGATGAAAGGGCTGGAAGGAATGTCCTATGAGGAGCAGCTAAGGACTCTGGGCTTGTCTAGTTTGGAGGAAAGTACACTGAGGGGCAACCTCATCACTCTCTACAGCCTCCTGAGGAGGGAAAGTGGAGGAGGTGCTGATCTCTTCTCCCTGGTGTCTAGTGATAGGACGTGTGGGAGTGGTTCACAGCTGCACCAGGAGAGGTTCAGACTGGACTTTAGGAAGCATTTCTTTACCGAGAGGGTGGTCAAACACTGGAACAGGCTCCTAGAGAGGTGGTCGATGCCCCCAGCCCATCAGTGTTTAAGAGGCATTTAAACAATGCCCTTAACAACATGCTTTAACTTTTGGTCAGCCCTGAGTTGGTCAGGCAGTTGGACTAGATGATTGCTGCAGGTCCCTTCCAACTGAAATAGTCTATTTCTATTCTGTTCTGTTCCGTTCTGTTCCATTCCAAATCCTGACAATTTTTACACTAACCAGTTTTATAACTAAAGAGTAATCAACCTTTTACTGCTAAGGAAGTCTAATTTCTAAAATTGTAACTTACGAGAAAAAACATGTCATTGGTTACATTTCGCAATGTATTATACATCCATACCTGGCTATAGTTTTAACGATGCTGTCAAGCTCGTCAGAAGAAGGAGGATTCCGACCTCCAGGAGGGAAGACAAGATTGATGGGGTCAAAGAGCCGAGATAAGGATTTTGACAAATAAGCAGCTTCATACTGTTGCAAGGAATCTTTCAATGCCTTTTCTGGACTGTGGGTATAAGACAAAATTACTACATTTTAAATTAAAAGACTCAATAGCATTGAATCTTTCCAGACCATACAAAGTTTGCAGTATTGAACCTGTCTTTCTTTCTGCTCTTTAAACATACGCACTTGAAAAGATTTTAATAGTGTATAACACCTTGCTTTTCACTTGAACCGTGTAACTAGTCAGAGAGCTATTCTGTGTAGTTCAATGCAGTTCTTAGCACTTTCTGTAAGACTTATGTGGAATCCCTAATTCAAGGTTTTCTTGAGACAAACAGTGCTAAAAACATCTCCAAAATATCAGTAAGATAAAAAGGCCTTTCACTGCAGTTCTGGATATATTCTCATATTTCATTAGCAGATAGCTTGTACCCAATGACATATTACCCCCCCAAAAAATGTATCTCCTGGTATATGTATGAGTATAAAAAGCTTCAAATAAAAAGACTCTTCTTAAAGTTATCTTTAATAAGCTTCAGTCTTTAGTATTTCTATTTGTGAAAATGAGTAAGCACTAGCTCTCTCAAACACTAACTCATTGGCAGAAGTTTGGTGAACTTTTTTCTTTGCTTCCATTGAAGTCAATGATAAATCTCCCACTGACTGCTCAGGAACATACTTAAGCCAATACAAATCTCACATAAAATATTCATTTTATCTTACATCAGTCTAGAATTCCTAATAGACTTGATGAGCCTGTTTCAGTTTGGTCTTTCTGATATCTACCACTCAGATCGTGTTTATTCTACAATGTATAAACATAAAAACTGTGAATCATAACAAACTGAGCATTTGTCACACTCCAACGATTGTGATATCATTAAGAGAAAGCTACTGCTGTAATCGTAACACATATAAAATTGAATTTTCATCACTCTGCCTTTTTTTTTTTTCCACCCAAAGAGACAAAAAGATAAAACTAGTTCCAAAGTCAGGGACTTTGTGAAAGACAAGACAATCTAACACTGTTAGTTATATAACTTAATGAAAATCTTACAGATCTAAAATAGTATTAAAGCAATAACTGCTAGAGGGAAAAAAAAAAAAACCAAACACCTTTAAAATTTTCCCGCTCTGACAATTTGAGTAACATCAAGTTCTTAAAAATATTCTGTTTTCCTGCAGGGTGCAAAGCTTTACATTTTATTGCCTTAGAGTTCATAATACATACTCATAATCTTGGTTTTTTTGCATGAATATGTCCTGTGTATCTTCTTCCATTTGTTGTAGTTCAGCAAAGAGATCAGTAGTTCCATTTGTGTTAAAATTCCTCTGAATATTTTGACTATATTGTTGCAGGCGCTTCCACAAGTCATTGTAAAGCCTCAGTAATTTAGGGTATTCTCCTTCAAAAGCTTGTTTCAAAAACATAGAGGCTGCAAAATAAAGAAGCAAGCAATACACATTGCAAAGTTCAAACTAATTCTTTGATTCACATAAACAACCTGTATCCTTGCATTCATTTCAATGAATGATATACAATGTTATCCTGTAATATTAATAATGTAATATTTATAATTAATTTCAAAGTGGCAAAAGTTATCACATTAAATGCAGCTGACAAAGGTATGTATCTAAAGAACCAGCATAAAATCCACAGTTGGAAGACTGGACATGGAAAACTTATTTTGTACAATAAAGATACTAATCATGGTTGTGAAACGTTTGGTATCAAACTTAATTATTACTATTATCATTCATTTAAGGCCACAGTGTGATTAGAACTCTCCAAATCTAGAGATTTTCTAACAGTAGCTTTATGGGGGAGACGTGTGGGGCTGTGCAGCTTTTAAGACAGCCATTTAATACAGACAAAGATAACTTCTATGAGCCAAAGTCTTAAGAAATGTGATGAGGGAAGCATATGCTTTTACACACACTTCTTAAAACAAGGTATCTAAAATGCAATTCCTCAACTTGTCAAGCAAAGAATGACAAAGCCAGCAGAACAATCAGCATTATTTTCAGCCTTGAAAGGCTTGCCACAAGTAACAGGAAATGAAAGAAATGTACAACTGTTTTAGCAATTGATGTTAATCTTGATCTAACATCATTCATACTTTATGGATTTTCCATTACATTAGGAGATTAACACTGTTTCATTCATTCGTAGGTTTTTCAGGTTCCGGACATCTGCCCCATTTCACCCAGCTGATCCTTTTGACTCAAATATATTCTAATTCTGAATACTGGAAGACTCACATTTATTATCAAACAGAGAGTTATTTTAGGTCACAAGACTATGTTTATAAAGACTGTCCCAAGCTCACAAAAGCAGATCATGATCTATTATCAAACTCTGTAAACTGCCATGAATTCCTATTTTTACACTATTTTTCTGATATTGTCTGGTCTTCCTCTGATCTATATGATCCAGAGGTCTGTGACTGATGGCAGTGGATTCAATCACTTCGAATTCATATGTTAAAAATGAACATTCTCATACAGATGCATCAATTAAATGAAAAAGTCTACTTGCTGTAAGCATTGTTTCCCCAAAATTCAGCTGTAGCAAAGTAAAAACATCATTCGCTGTCCAAAAATCCAACCACTCCTTCTAAACGTTTATACAAAAACATGATTAAAATTGTAAGTAATAAAATAGTTTTGAATAGCTGTCAGACAAAGTACTGCTGACAAAATGTAAGAGTTCCCTTACTTCTGAAATGTTGATTGATCCCATTAACTGATGTCACAATTTTACAATCTTAAAACTGAGTGCTGAAAACAGGTAGCGCATGTTCAGTTTGAACATACGAGATTCCAGGTGTGTACATACTGCTGTTAAAGTAATGCATAAGGCAAACAGTAAAATGAATATATTTTAACACAAGATGAATATATTTTCTTTTGGGATCATCTAGTTACTTAGCAACTACTGAAGATGAATCAACCAGCTAGTTCCTCAAAATTATATTGCTGCTATAAAGCCTGGAAGGACCAAATTTTGAAGGGCCAATGCAATAGCTGAGATCACAAAGATAAATGCAAAATCTTATGCGCTTTATGTTTATGTGCAAAAGATTAACTTTATACACTGTATACAAACACGAAAGATGTATTTATGAAAGCACCAATCTCATCTGGGCTTATGATCCAATGTCATGCTGTATTAGCATATACTGGTAATAGTACTGCCTAATGTTTATATATAATTTTATGTAATATTCCTTGATTGTATTTGCTATTTATATATTACATATGTACAGAATATTGTGTATAGTCAGAACACTAGCCATTTATCTACATTTAGACAAGACACAACTTTGAAGGAACTCAAGTCCTATTTATAAAGGTATCCAAAAATGGCTAAAATTAGATTTTTACAACTAGTCAGTGTTTAACAAGAAAAAACAGTAAGAACTGCTCCTTAGAATCAAATTACAATTTTTGAATTTGGCAAACCCATTCACTTTGGAAAGTACAATGTACCATTCCAAACATTTTTACCTCCACATATAGTTGCAAAAATATGTTTTTCTTGTTAGATAATGACTACTTAATGGAGCAGAATATATTTCTTTCTGAAAATTTAACCATAGTTTAGGAGGATCACCCTTTTTGGTTACAAAACCAAGAAGTTTTCAATTCATAGACCCCGCACTGAGTGAACCACTGCTATAGTTCTAGTAGAGCTGATAATGAGCAAAGGGCTTATTGAAATGAGAGATTCAAAATAGCTATAGAACACATTATAAAACATTTATACTAAATACTTACAGTCTGTTGCTGACTGAAACTGAGAGGAAAGTGTCTGAGTTACTGCAGTCCAGAATTTGTACAAAATATCAGACTGGCCATCCTGATAGCAAGGGACAAAAGAAATACAAGTTTCAAAACATACTCTTTTCAATGCAAATGCTTCCAGTCAAAGTTATTCTACCATCACTGAGAATAAAAACTAAGTAAGTGAAGCCTGAGAAGTTTTCCTCAAGTTTAAAGCTAGAAAAAATATCAGAGAAAACAAAAATACAAGCTACAGTCTTCTCTTAAATGAAATATTTTCCTTCAAGTCTGAGAGAAATGCTTCCAGCTCTCTAGGGGCGTGCGTGTAGACGAAAGCACTACACCTCAGGAGCTGGGTTAGAAAATCTCTTTGCATTGCAGTGACCTTCTCATTCCATGGGGTTTCTCATGCTGGCTACATCACAGCAATGATTGCTACTGTTACATTACAACATGCTTCCAAACACCAGGGACCAAAACCAGTGCACACTGCTCTGCTTCACACAGAACAGTTTACTGTTTCTAAAAACATAAACCCCATGAAAACGCAGTGAACCTCACAGTTGACTCTTCACCACCTTGTGTCAGTAGGGCTTGCTGTCAGCAGTGGAAACAAGGCAGCGTGTTCTTGCAGAAATGACACACAAGAAATGGCAGCCTCTTCCCTTACTCCCCCAACATCCTGCACTTATGCTCAAGCATTCAGGCATGATTTTGTTTTCTCTCTTTTGCTTTCTTCCCATGTGTTTGAGGTAGAAAAAATGAGAAGAGATGATGATGGGTATCCTGTCCTGCCCACTAGTTAGATACTTGGACAGCTGTCCACAGTGTTTTCATGGGAAGGTGAACCTCACTCTGAACAGAACGGTTTTCTTCATTGCATGGTATACATGTAATGTATTGACCCTACTGTATAAATTAACCAGTTTGATCAAATTACCATAGTAATGATAATCAGCAAAAAGTGCTCAGAATGAAAAAGTGAAACAGCCAGCAGTGATGACAAACGTCAGCAATTCTAAGGATCTTACACTGGCACTTCGCTGTTTCTATCCTGACTCGCTCTGAAACATAGAATCACAGAAGGGGTTGGAAGTGACCTTAAAGATCATCTAGTTCCAACCCCCCTGCCAGGGTTTTAAATCAAAGCACAACATCCACAGCTAAAGATGGGTTTAAGCAAAGGGTTCAGCACTAAAATCACTGTCAGAGACGGATGCATTTTCTCAACTTTCCTTTTGGCACTGCCAGTGACTATAAGGAAAAGAAAAACAAACCCCAAAAAACCCCCCACAGTCAAGCAATCCTAGTTCCCGTTGATAACACAAGCCCTTTTAACATGTCAGTTCAACTTCTGCACTGCCCAGCACCACAAAGAGGAGGAGATTAGCTATCAAATATAAAAGGCTAGCTACTCCAAACTGAACTAGTACTGAAGATGGCAAAGGAAGAAAGAATGCACTCTATTCACTCACATTGGCAATAACATGCAAAGCAATGGAGGTGTTCAGAATGGCATCCATGAGCAGGGTACCACTGCATCCCACTTGAAGATCTGGTCATTGAAAGACTGTAAGTTCAAGCTCAAGTTTCAGTTCCAAAACTATTGTCTCAAAGAATTGATATAAAACCTGAAAATCAGTCGAAGGTACACAGAGACATCTAAAAATGAAGTAACTTATTTTACAGCTATGTTTGTATTTTCTGTAAAATTGTACTTGATTTTCATAAATGGGCAAAGTAGACAATGATTCAGAAGGTGTGCTGCATAAAATATTTTGGGGTTTTTTGTAAATTTATTGCTATAGCATAAATGTGAAATTACTCAGTTCTTCATTTCACAGTTTCACATTTAAAACATGAAAATTACTATGAAACAAATGACCTTTCACATTAACTATAGAGTAAATTAAATAGCTTTCATATTCTCTATCCCAACCTGGAACAATGTTTGCCTATTCAGCATGGTAACTCAATTCAATTTCTAAATAATCTAATGGAGGTGGAAAAATACTTACAGAGCACTTTCATACAACTTTTTTTTCATTACTGTAATCACCATCTACACCTCTGTCATAGTCTCAGCAGAAAATGCAATGATTAAAAGGTCTTGAAAACAAACTTGCTTGTAGTCCCTCCACATCGAAATTTCTATCTTAATTGTCAGATTCAACATGGTGACAAATAACAGTAACAGAGATGTGACGACCTTTAATGTTTTTGTGAAAATACAGAACTTTTGTATGTACCTATATACATATATATTATAGTCAGACATATATACATATGTAGTCATGTAAGTATTTGCATAGTAGCCACAGGTGTACCAAACCAATTAAGACTCTGCCCATTAGCTGGTGTCTTCCAACCTGGGCAAATGGTGTTCATTAACTGTATCAGAATTTTGTAGTGAAGAAGGCCCTCACGTCTCAGCTAACCAACTGTATTATGTATGAGGGGAAACAGAGGGGAAAAACTACATGGATAATTCAAGTAACATTTCATATTGATTGACTACTCAGTCAAAAATGTTTAGGGGAAAAAACGATTAATGCCCCAGTTTTGGACCAACTGAAAACATCATCTATGGAGTCATTACTGGTTGCTTCTATAATGTAACATACAATATTTCCCCGTGTCCAGTGTTGAGATGCAGTCACTCTGGAGGTGAAATATAGCTGCTGATTAATAGCACACAAAAGACCATGTAAGAGTTTCTGGCAGGAACTAGAGAATACTGTTGCCTCCGCGTACACCAGGGGGTATTTAAGTGGGTGGACTGTAGCTACCAAAATTGGAATAAAGCAAGGCATCAGCATTAGATACTCCTGCTGGAGTAAAAAGTGCCATATGCAACCATAAGCATCCAGAAACCATTTATTTATTTTGTCTAAACCTGTAATTTCTTTTGCTTATACATTAACTCAACTTATTATTTTTAAGTACTTTTAAGTATCTCACTGCTTATTTTTTAAATAATGTATTCTAATAGAGATTACATTTGTGCCTGTAGATCAGAATGGAAATTATAATTTAACTATTTAAAATATAACGTACAATTCCATTTGACAATAATCAATACTAGAAAATGACACAAAAAAGGGCAGCAAAGGAGTATTTTTCTCCAGCTTAGCAGGAAAATAAAGGAATGTCCCTCTCCTTGTACTGGACATCTTCTTCAAGAACTTAAGAAGACAGGCAGGATGAAGGTGGAAGAGGAAAAGGCAGTACTGCTTGCCTGAAATGTACACAGCAAATCTACTGGCACACCTTATTGTAATGGAAAGTTTATAAGTCTCCCCTATGCTTCATATAGCACTGTGAGCTGCATCCCACTGTATCAGAAAGTAACTGTTCTTTTGGGCCTTTCACTTTCAGAAAATGTCATCTAGCTAAAATTGCATTCTTGTCATCTTCCCATCTGTACAGTGTAATGAATCTGGTCCTCCTCTACACTTACACCAAATATCCTCACTGGCAGACAACGTATGGGAGCTTTGGGTACATCCACATTAGTGATTCAATGTGGAGAAGGGATTCTTTTTTGTGCAAATCTGTTTTGTGTCTGTACTTGTGGTCATGCAGAACACACTGAAGTGTGCTAGCAGACTACTTCCACTATTCAAGGAATATACTACCTCATCATTAGTTTAAAAAGAACAACTTCTGCAATTAAATAGCTTTTTGCAGCATATCATCATATTTTTGTAACAGAACCCACAAGGATGTACTAATATTTTTATCAATTAATATTCTGAGACTTTAAATTGGGAATTTTCCATTTCTCTTCCTTCTGAAAATGAAACAAAATTGAAAGATGTTAAATTACTTACACCCCCTCCAAAATAAAAATGCTTGCTTTGAAATATAGTCACAAGCAGATTAACATCTTGTGATACAATCCCTTGTAGCAGGAGCAGCTGACAAGATGAGTAATGAACTGCATCCGATTATCTTTTCAGCTCTGTGGCAATCATTTTCCAACAGCTTCCTATTCTATAACCAACAACACTGAAAAAGGTCACCATTCTGTCATATTTTCTCCCTGGCAGTGTATGTGTTTAATAACGCAGAGAACACATAAACCTTTGGAAGTTAAAGAGGTCGGGCATCATTATCCGGGGCAAAACTGTTTCAGGTGCATACTGCATATATAGAAAGCATACATAAATCATTCATACATAATTTAAAGTTTCTCAGAAGGAAATTATTGCACTTTAGCATATAATAGAGTGCTATTTCCTCTTTTCATGCAATGTGTTCTTTCTTCAACAAAAGGACCTTAACTGTAATTGACGGTATCTAAAACTCTGGACAGGCAAAATTCAGGTTGACATATACATAGTCTCCCCATCATGGAATACAACTGAATTAAATCTATGAACATGAATTGCAAGCAACTGTAGAACTATAAAGAAAAAACAGGATTTTCCCCCCAAAGCAGATCCATTTAACTCAGCATTTTTGAACTGGTGGTATTATCTGTTCGCAACTTTACTTTAATCTGACGGGAGAGAAAATCGGCACATAAATCATACTTTGCACAACTATAAAATGGTTGGGAGGCTAAGATCAGCCACAGAACTGGCTATTTTTTCATAAAAATCTGCTCCTATACCTAAACTAGACTTACATAAACTAGTAATCTACCAAAAAAACTAGTAATCTACCAACCAAAACTGGGAATTAAAAATACTGTCACTGCTGTTCCTGCACCCAGTGATCACTTCATTCCCCAGAACTGATACAGCTGAGCAGGCACTCAGATGATTTAGTAGCCCCTATGCAACTCCTTGGGCAGTGCAAGAGACCTTAGGTCTGTCTTCTGCTTGTCCGTTCTTTGCTGTCAGAAACGAACCGAACAACTGTCCGGTAACATGACCCAGGGCAACCCAGCTGGACAGCTGGCCAGAACCAGGGGGGAAGAGAAAAAGATGCTTTTGAAACACATATGGACTATGAACACCTAGCTGCTTTTGAAAATGTTATTCCTAGGGAATCCACTTGCGTCTGTGTAGAGCAAAATAGAAAAACCCAACAATCAGATTCCAGTCTGGCCCACCCACTATAATTTTA